TCTCGCTCGCTCGCTGTTTTCTCGCTCTATTTCGTCGAGAAACGCGGGACAGGTAGGCAAAGCCGAGAGAATAGTCAGGCGAATGGAAATAAACGAAAGTGAACTCGCACAGCTCCATTTTTAAGCACGTGGCACGTCATTTTATCTCCTGCTATTGCCGTTATCGTTGTTATTTATTGCACGATAAAATAGTTTTATAAAAGTATATATACGGCAGAATTAAATGCCTGAAACAAAGCGCAAGTTAAAAATGCCACCTCTAATATATGTATAGATTCCATTTAAATTTTAATCCTCAATTCTCGATACGTTAACAAAGAATTTCACAGTCTGAAGAAAATGACGTTAAATTAAACGACGATTCGTCCATTCTCTTTATGCGTAGTCACCCGGAGTAATGCCGTTTTACGGTGATTCCGGCGCCGGTTTCCGTCCCACAGCCGGATTTGGAAATACGGTTTGGCATCAGGGAGTCGGACCAGTTGGCACAGTAGCGGTCGAAACATCACCAGCACCGTGGCCACCTCAGCAATTCATTCAGCAGATTCCCGCACCAAATCAACTCGAAGAGTTGAGGTATCATCCTCAGTATGGAGGCGCAACACCTTATCATCCTCAAGCAGGTGAATGAAACTCAAACGAAATAATAGCAATACGAAACAGACAATGCTTGCGAAATAATAGGGATATTTATTATATATATATATATAGTTTTCCGGTAATCATTGTATCACTCTAGAAAAGAAATAAATTAAAGTTGTCCGAAATAAATTCCGTTTTTTTAAACTACTGTATATACTGAGCGTTTTTCGTGAGAGACATGACCATCTTTGTGTCATGTCACGTAAGATCGCGTGTCCATATCAACGTATTAATTTCAATATTATAGTTCCGTATCAGCAACAAACATTTATAACGACGGACCAGTCTGCGTTTCAACGAGCTGGAACGACGGGACAGTACACCATCACGGGGCAACCTTCACCGTTGACCCCTGTCGGAGGACAGGCAGTGGTTTCGACGCCTCAGAGGCAGTTGAATGGACAATTTGTAGATCCCTCGGCTACCACTAATCAATCAGTCGCTTACGAGCGACAGGACTATGTAAATGGCTATCAACAAGTAAGTGTTTTTGATTACATAAATATGTAGCTCCAACTTACACCTATATTTTTTTATTCGCGCGGATCCATTTCTCACAATTTTCTCGTATTTGTCCCTATTTCGATAGCCATTCTAAAGAATCATATGAAGCATTTGCATCGAACGCTACACACCGCAAAACGGGGCTTCTTGCAGGACGTGACAATGGCGCCGCCTCCGTCGACAACTCCGACGAGTCGCAGCAGCTCAGTACATATGGACAGTCAACAGCAACAGCCACAAGGAGGTCCGCAGCAGCCATCGCAGCAGCAGCAGCAGCAGCAACAGCAGCAGCAGCAGCAACAAACTGCCGCAGATACACAAGTAAAGGGATTTGCGACGATCGCCGCCACTAACGTGTCGGGAAACGAGATGCCTGGGTATCCACTTCAACCGGACCCACAGAGTTTACACAACTCTAACGGGTATCCAGGCTACGTGGAAATGGGTCAACAATCAACGCAGAACCAATGGCAAATGGTTTCACAGCAACAACAGCAACATCACCAACAAACACAAATGCAACAACAATCGATGATCGACAATAATCAACAGCATGTATGGTCAGACACAAGTGGAAAAATGAGCAGTAGTGTCAACAGCAATATGAATTGGCAGGAAGGAGCGATGCAACAGCCACAGAAACCTCCACCACAGCAACAGCAACAAAATATACAAGGCAACATGAAGTCTCAGGTGGAACAGCAACAAACTACTCAAATGCAATCACAGGAACTGCCAAGACCAGCGAGTCACATGAGCTGGGAGACTGGAAGCGTGAAGGAACCTCGAACGCCACAATCGTGGTCCGAAAACGCCGACAACCAGCAGCAACAAACTCAGGGAAACTGGTCACAACAGAGTCCAAAGCTAAGGGATCCACAAAACTCACGGTTGACGCCATCCAATCAGCAACCGTCTCAACATCAGTCCTGGCTGCAGCACTCTCCGAAACTGTCAGACCATCAACACAGTAATGCTCAACAAAACGCGAGGATGACGCCATCTGGCCAACGTAGCTGGCAGCAAAATAGTCCGGAAATGCAAGGATCTCAACAGAATCCGAGATTGACGCCTTCCGGACAGCAGATGCAACAACAGCAGTGGCCGCAACAGACCAAGGTGGAGCAGAATCCCAGACTCACCCCGTCCAATCAAATATCGTGGCCTGACACGCCGACTAGTCAACCGAATTGGTCACCAAATAGCATAAAAAGTGATAATAGTCAACAGCCACAGCAACAATGGCAAGATTCGCAGCCCAGTCCTAGACGGACTCCGAGTCATCAGTGGCAAAATCAGCTGCCACAGGAAAATAAACTGGACAGTCAAATGTCTTGGTCGCCTGTAAATTCTGTATCGGAAACTCAACCGACTTGGGGACAACAGGCGACAAAGCAAGACATGCAAAACTCAGGAGAGAGAATTGCATGGCAACAACAAACAACAGTAGATACTAGTAAACCGAACGGATTTCCGGAAAATCAAGATAATTCGGAAAGCCATATCTATGCTCAATCCAATCGAGTGAACCTTAATAGCCGATTGAAATCGATGATTTTGAATAAGCAGCAGCAGCAGCAGCAGCAACAGCAGCAGCAGCAGCAGCAACAGCAACAGCAGCAGCAGCAACAGCAGCAGCAAATACAACAACAACAGCAAAGCCATCAACACCATCAGATGCAATCACAACATACTAATACCAATAATGGATCTTCTTCGGAATATCCAACGGACGATCAAATACGCGATGCACATGAAAGCAACGAGAAGATGCAAGAAAAACGCATGGATCATTTTATCAATCAATCAAACATTATTTCGATGACGCAATCTAATGAAAACTTGACCGGTAATTTTTTATTGCATAGCCACCACCCTCGGGTAGAGAATTTGCCCGACGGTGGTGGCTTATGGGAATGGACGGAAGGAGAACATAATCACAATAATAACGATATTGATAATAAAGATGATAATTCCGCATTGCCAGAAAATGGAATGACAGTTTTCGAAAATTTCATGAAGCTCACTGCAGAAAATAAGAGTCAATATGACAAAGACGAAGATCAACATTCCTGGGAGGCAGAAGGAAGAAATGATAAAGATGAAGAAATCGACGACAAGTCTTTCCAACAAAGATTGTGCATGAATCAAATTGAGGATACGTCTTTCGAGAGGTCCCAGAAGATATCTGAAAGTGACGGAATAAAAACCGATAATCTAGATTTTTTGAAGACGACAAACGCTGCCGATCATATATCTTTCCAAGATAAATACGATTCTAACCGGTTAATTAAACAGGAGAACACCGAAGAACATAATTATGTCCACGTATCTCATGATGCGTCCAATATAGTTGAGAACGAAGAGAATCAAGAGATTACTCGAGATTATAAGTTTCGCGGCGATGGTGGACCCGCAAAGGTGTCGCCGGGTACCGGTTCGTGGTGCTGTCGAAGAGGCGGGACCGAACAGCCGACTCCTGAACACCTAAGAGACGGCTGTTGTCAGGGTCTCCAAACCAAGGATGAAATACTAGACGATTCCGTGGAAAAAGCTGAGTTAAAGAACGAAGGACCACACAGTCCGCATACTCCAACTACGACGACTGTAACAACAAAGTTGCAAGATCACTTGGACAAATTGAAGAACAATGTCAGGACCGAAGTACCGGACTGCAACTGCTTCCCCGCCGATAAATGTGAGTTACAATTACGTATTCCGTACTACACTAACATTGAAAAAGCACACTAACCACGAAAGAACACATGGAAGAAAGTTATAAACATACTAATATACATTTTATTACCAATAACACCAACCGGTTATGCATCCTGAAATCCGGAGGAGAATGTGTGTACCTAACGTAACCCCTATTCGCAAGGTCGTATCTACTATGTGCACGGCATAAATGTTTCCGCTTCCGTTACTTCCTTTCGTTTACGTGTCAGCCGCTCGTAAATAAAATGTGGTTCAACCACAAGGTCCACCAGAGCCTGGTTCGTACTACACTCACCTCGGAGCGGCTGCAAGTCTGCCTGATCTTCGGAATGATCTCGAACGAAGAACTGGCCTTAAGGGCGACGCGATAAGATTCGAAAAGGTCGTCTATACTGGCAAAGAGGGCAAAACCACGCAAGGGTGTCCAATGGCCAAGTGGGTAAGTCATTTTCTGAAAAGAATCGTGTAATTACTGCAATTAGCAATGATTATAAAGATGATGTTAGTAAGGAAACATATTGTAGCAACAGCGTCTGTTTTTCTCCTTACGCGAAATTAATAATTTGTTAGATTATCCGACGATCTGGCATTGATGAGAAAATCTTAACCGTGGTGAAACATCGTCAAGGTCACAAGTGTCCAACCGCCTGGATCGTTGTAGCTATGGTTGCCTGGGAAGGAGTACCGACTCACGAAGCAGATCGTATCTATACTCTCTTAAGTCACAAACTCAATCGATTCGGTCTTCCAACCACTAGACGGTGCGGTACCAACGAACCGCGAACATGTGCATGCCAAGGACTCGATCCTGACACATGCGGCGCCAGCTTTTCCTTTGGCTGCTCCTGGTCAATGTACTATAACGGCTGCAAATATGCCAGAAGTAAAACCGTCCGCAAGTTTCGATTGTCTGTACGATCGGAGGTAAATATCTTAAAGACAATCAAAATGGCTAAAAAGACAGTTGCATATTGTAACAAAAGAATTGTTTCGCAGGAACAAGAAGTCGAAGAGAGAATGCACGTTCTGGCGACGCTTTTGTCACCTTTGTATCTTAGTCTTGCGCCAGAGGCTTTTAATAATCAAACTCAATTCGAGCGGGAAGCGAGCGAATGTCGTTTAGGATTTAAACCAGGTCGACCTTTTTCTGGTGTTACGGCTTGCATTGATTTCTGTGCACACTCCCATCGGGATCTACACAACATGAATAACGGATGTACTGTGGTGCGTGAATTTTATATTTAATTCGATCCGCCATGTAATATTTTTTTCTCTATAGTATTTTGAAAAAATGAAACTTGTTTTTTATTATAGTATTATAACATTTTTTATTACGTTTATCAGGTAGTTACTCTGACAAAACATCGAACATTATCGAAACCCGAAGACGAACAGTTACATGTGCTACCCCTTTATATAATGGATGACACAGACGAATTTGGTTCAAAGGAAGGTCAAGAGAAGAAGGTTCGCTCCGGTGCACTTGAATTTTTATCTAAGTTAGTATCTTTTAAGTATTATTTAAAAATAATCTATATATAAAAAAATTGTTTTACATAATTATTGATAGTTATGACGTAAAAAGAAGGGGAAATGCTATACGTATACATAAAACATATCTTTTACTTGTTGTTTAGATATCCATGCGAGGTTCGAGTTAGATCGGTACCTCTTCAACCATGTAGACGTCATGGTAAAAAAAGGAAAGAAGATGAATCGGATATTCAGACCAGCAAAAAGGATTCAGTCAAAATTATGACGGAAAAAGTAACTGATTCCGGACGTTCGGGACACGTAGATTTTTCTAAGCTACAATCGCAGTTAACGCTGGAGATGACGCCCATGTTCGAGGGAATTGACGCGCAGTTGCAGAGCTCTCAGGTATCATCCACGGTCTTAGATAGTCCGGTGTCCATGTATCAAGGATGGGGAGCATATCAAGGTGAGCAACAGTGGAATCGAAACGGCTGGCTCGAACAGCGTAAAAATAATTGGTTGAATTCATGGGGAGAATATCCTTCATTTGGTGGTTTAGAGAGGGACATCAAAGTGGATCCAGACAGTACCAGTTTAGATGATACTAGGCCCAGGAGTACCGTTTCTCAAGAAGAGCACAGACCAGGCTCGAGGAATCTACCCAACTCTACAGTGGATTCAGCCAGAGGATGTTATGGAAGTTCACCTAGAATTCATCCGGTTTCACCTCGTTCGCACATATCAGGAGAGGTGTCTTATAATGTATCACCCAGGGGCTGTACCACAACGTCTCAAGATCCGAAAATGGCACCATTGAAAGGATTGGAACATTCAAACATGGAAAATAATTACGATCATCAAATGGCTTCTGGAATTTACGCTGCTTCTGTCAACGGGCAAAATGACTGTTCTCCCTCAAAATTCGGCTCCCTCAATCCATCATTCGGCATGGAGACGACACATCGAAACATTCCATCCAAGATGAATCAGTCGCCAGTTCATGTACGTAATATAAACCAAGATTGTGTCACTAATCAATTGAGATTAACATCTCCTAAATATATGGGAGATTTTAATTCGCAGAAATATCCGAATACGATGACACAAAATTACATGGATGCTGAAAACTCTACAAAATCGCCATTACTGAGGTCACAAGTTGAACAAACATTTGCAAATAGGATGCAACCATCTGTAAATTCTAGCTATCATAATCAATATTACGATGGTAACACGTCAAATTTATATTCTTACATGGAAAATAGTAATCATAAATCTATGGAAATTCCAAATTCGAATGTTTTGGGACATAATTCCTTGCATTTGCCAGAACAACGAAATGACGCGCAATGCTCGTCGAATGATCAGCGAAAATCCATTTATCATGCGCACAGACAATCGGAAGCAAAATCCTTTGTTAGCAATCATCCTCCATCGCCATCTTCCGATCAAGTTTCTTGCCCACAGAATTGGAATATGGCGAATTCATGGTGTTCTAATCAAGTCAAAAATCCACATCAATTTGATCCACATCAGCAGATGGGCGACAAGAAGATTTGGGTCGGTAAACTAACAAGATCGGACCAAACTAAAACTGCCTGGGAAACGTCATCTGAACCATCACCATTCCGAGTGCCAAGAGGAAGACCACCCTCGCGAACGATATCCAATCAGAATTTATCTGCGGAACCTAATGCTTATCCAAATCCTTTGGCCCGAACATTTTTAAAACCTCCAGATTCCAAGCCTATATTTCCGGACGCTCCATCTAGCAACACGGCCCAAAACGGATGTATACCTAATCACTTGAAGGACAGTTGCACGGAAGATAAATTGCGAGAAGGATTTTATGATAACAAGCAAGAAGTATCCAATTCTAATTCGAATTCTCTCGCATGGACTAATGAAGTGAAACAAGATCTCCATGCTATGTCTGGTTTAAATCACCATGCGTTTCCTCAATACGGATATCCATCCTATCCAGTGTTCGAGAAACCTTACACGAACTCATGGGAAGGTTATAACTATAACCATAATCAATCCCCATATCAAACACCGGAACAATTCTATCAACAACCAAAACGTGAAGGTTGCTTCCATTCGTCTCAATATCCGTATCAAGGCCTGAACCCTACGTATCAAGGTTTGAATTCCGGCTGGACGAGGTGGGATACACCGCGGTGGGATATTTACGGACCGGCACCTTATTTTCCGGTCTTGCCAGAGCCTCCTCCGAAGGCAGAACCACTCGGCGAAATAACGGACTATTCTGAAAATGAGGAATGTTTTAAGGATCCTCAAATGGGTGGTGTTGCGATTGCCTTAAGCCATGGTAGTGTACTCTTCGAATGTGCAAAGCACGAGATGCATGCCACCACTGCACTGAGAAAACCCAATCGACTTAATCCGACTAGAATTAGCTTGGTATTCTATCAACATCGCAATTTAAACAGATCCAAGCATGGTTGGGAGGAATGGGAGGAAAAGATGCGACTGCGAAAATTGGGTATCACAACATCGACTAGCAATGCGTCCGTATCGACAACCAATCCATCGATTCCAACTACCGCGACAAGCCCTGGTAGTACAACAAACGGAAAAACGACGCCACTTCCACCACTTTCGCACATTCCAAATGTCCCCAGTTCACAGTTCATGATGAGATCACCTACTTACACCACGATGACTTGGACAACGCTCTTCCCAATGCATCCATGTATGATAACTGGACCATACCAAGAAGGTGGTGCGATTGGATGAGTCGAGGTTGGACGATACAGCTTCGATCGTCGATGACCGAAGCTTGTATTGAAATATGCCATCACCAAAAATCGAATCAGCTACAAAGGATTCGAGAGACAAAATCCTGAAGAAGAATCGCGACAAATCCGATCGAGGATAAAATAATGAGGCGGCAACTTTACCATGAGAGGCTTTATATTGTTATTATCGTTATAGTTAGTTATTCCGAAAACGAGAAACACACAGTTTGCACTGCCATTTTTCTATTTCGAGTTTTACGCAAGATTTAAACATAGCGACAAAACGTGCTTGAAAAATAGCCTCGCCGAGTGTGATTACATCACTCTTTGTGTGGGGCTCGCGTTTTATACTGACTTTTTACTGAGTTGAACTCGAAAGAGACTCTCGTAATCGAGACAGAGGCTGCAAAATCGAGACAATGGTAATGATCGAGGCTATTGATGTATCAGGAAAGCTCCGATGAAAGCTACGCCTTGCGAAGACTTTGATACGAAGATTTTCGTATTCTGACCCTGTACACTTTAAGTAATATCGCTACGTATAACGGTTTCGTGTTGGTAGAATTGTAATCTTACTAGCTAGTCGAAGTCTAGATGATGAATCACGCGATATCACAAGTACACATAAAAGCACACATTGAACGTATATGCACTTCAAGACACCCAAGGAAACTTGCACGATGTGATCTCAGAATTATCGCACCTTTCTAAAGACTTCGTAAAAATGTAAAAGAAAAAAATTGATTCGTGTTCATCTATGTACATGAATATTGCATAAAAATATCGATTACCCAAATTAAATAAAATTAATGAAAAAGAAAGCTGCAGGCAAAATTATTTGTTTATATAAAATATATAATATTATATATATGTA